TGGTGGTATCCTGACTTCAGATCCATTTTGCTAAATATTTTGTAGCTTCCTATATAGTATGTGAAATCTACAATTGGGGTTTTGCATGCATCAGCTTCTTTTTAGGAACTACTTTGGTTTTTACACGTTGATGCTGGCCCGTATCATATATGACTGTAGTTTGTCCTGGTTTGCCATTGTGTATCTTGGTTTTGGTGGGACAACCAGTGGCAAACACCATGTGATTGCCTTGTTGCTTAGTACTTTTTCAAAAGATGTCTTGTTTCTCCTCTTCTTCCAACCACTGTTTTAGGGGCTTTTCAAAGTGGTATGGTACATGTCTCAGTTTCTGTGCAACTGATACTGCACTTGGTTCTATCTCAAGCCTGGCTTCAATTGCCTCATTAGTTTTTGGGTCTTTTATCAATCCTATCCCCTCAAATACATTTTTGAATCTTTCCAGGATCCTGTTTGTCAATTCTGGTGATTTTGTCTTTATTATTTTTATCTGGTGTTTGTGTAATTCCTTCAGTGATCCAGCTGGTTCTATTTTCAGCATTCCCAGCTCCAGGAAGGTATCCCTGCCAATTAGTGGTGGTGTGCCTATGTGTCCCTTGATTACAATGAATGTTGTCCTTGCTCCACAGTTCTTATTCCCGATAATTATAACAAATTTTCCTTCGAGTTTCCATTTCCTCTGAATTGTTTTCACAATGTCTGTGTTGGGTGATAGTTTGTTGATGTTCCAAGAGTATCACCACTTAATTGCATTGAATTGGTGATCATCAATGATGTTGGCTGATGCACCGCTGCCCAGTTTACATGATCTGTCTACATTGTTGATCCTGACGTTAATTAACTCGTCATCTCTTTTCTGTCCTACCCATTTTGTTGTCATTGCTTTGTGGATGATCACTCGTTCTGCGAAGTTCCAGACAAAGATATTGTCTTTGGAACTGTCATTCTTTGAATTGTCATGTCCATATGTGTTCCCTTTTTTCACGTTTCCACTGTATTTGTCATCATCTTCGAAATGTTGATTTTCCTTGCAGAAACTGCAGCAATTCACAAAGTGGTTTCTTTTTCAACTTTCCTCCTTCCTTCCGAATGTGTTGTTCTAAAGGTTAAATTTACTCTTTCCAGTAAGCAAAATACACTGTTGTATTTCAAACAGAAATTATATTGATTGAAATTGATTTATTTTTTTTAAAATTGTTTCTAAAATAGCTTATTAGCATCCTTTTTTGTAGTCTTTCATTGCAATGTACAATGTATTAAAACATCTTCCAAAAATAAAATATACTTTTCTGAAACTTTGAGAAATATTACCTGATTTAAAGCATAATTAGTTTGATTTGAAAAAAATATTTACTTTAAGTTTAAAATAACACCACTTTTACTTCTCACTCTCAACGCATAGACACACATACATACAAGTGTACGCATTTTGGTTCACACAAACACATCTATATAAACAATCTGAGGTTAGGTGCAGATACATATCCATGTGTTCAGGCATACATACATATGCAGTTGTAATTCTATTTTGGTGTCGAGACCGTAGCTTTTATATGCAGCAATGTTCCTTACAACAAGGAATGGGTAGGGTGCTTTTGACGCTTTTCAGATCTGTTGTCTGCACTGTCAGAGAAACTTACACATGTAGATATGCACATTTGGTCCCTTTGGTTAAGCTGGGTTATCTTAGTGGGCATGGTGATGATAATATTTATATTTTCAATGCTAACTGTGTGTTGTTGACGATTGTGATTATGCTGATAGTGATAATAAATGTAATATTGTTATTGATGTAATAACAGTAAATTTAGCTATATATAAAAGCTACAGTCTTGACACTGAAATAGAATTACAACTTCAAATGTATGTATGCCTAAACGCATGGATATGTATCTGCACCTAGGCCACGATTGTTTATATGAATGTGTTTGTGTGAACCAAAATGTGTACACCTGTATGTATGGTACTGAGTGTTGATTTTTTTCTTTTTTAATTAATAATGCTTCTAATTTTTTTTTTTTTTTTTTTTTACCCATGTGGATTAGGCTATTATGTTTGTATTATCAATGAGCATGTTATGGATGTGTTTTGGTAGGGTTTGACCTAATTGAGGCATGGTCAGATGTAACATAAGTCGTCTTGTTAGATGTGTTGTAGTATATTCAATAAAAGATCAAACCAAATTCATAAATAATTATATTGGATATACTAAACAAAATGTTGAAGACAGACCTTTTCAGTATTTTTAATAAAATTTGTATGAGAGAATTCTTGGTGGCTAAATGCACACACACACACACATTTTATATATATATATATATATATATATATATATATATATATATATATATATATATATATATATATGGGGGAAAAATTATATACAAGTCCTAAAGAACAACATGCATTACACAAAAACTTTCTTTTGTCAGTTTATTTTTACCCCACCCTAATATAATTATTTTCTTTTCAAAAACATGTTTCAAAACTGAAACTAAATTTATAAATTTAATTATAAAAATTAAACTTAAAATCCATAGCCTTGTTCCCTTGTCAAGCGATGTTAGGAATAAACTTTCAAAGAAATTTACTTAATTTATAAGCACAGACAATATTGATATTATGAGTTGTTAAGGTTTAGGAAAATCTATTTTAATATTGGGGTGGTTGGGTTTTTATTTTCCTACACAGCTTATGTATCTAATATGTTACTTACAAAGGTCAAGTTTGGGTGGGGTGGAGGTGTCTGCTAACAAATGTATACTTCCATTATTCAGTGAGTCATCTGACAAAAAAATTTGGCATTTTTATTCATCCGCTTAATTCATATTTTTATGCACAAAGATTTTCTAAAAGGGTCATCTAAATATGTGTAAAACATTTTAATATTTAAATTTAATTAATTAAATTTTATTCTTATAAATTTAAAATACCATTTGACCTTTTAATAACTAAGACAATATGGTATTTTTACAAATATATTAGAATTTAAATACTAATTAAAGATCAAATATAAAAATGTATATTTCATCTCTATTCTTTATTATTTTATTTTCTCCAAATTAATTATTACTTAAGGAAAATATCTGACAGTGTCTACAAAAAATAGCTATTTCATTTCTTTGATTTAATAAATTTTTATTTTTCAGAAACTTAATTATGTATAATTTTTCATGTATGCAACAAATGTATGCCAATTTAGGATGGAATCCTGAAGAAACTATTGATTAAATGGCAAAAGCTGATTTTGAACCCAATTTGTCACAGATTTCATCCATTTAACTGAAATAATCTAAAGTAAACATTCAGGCAAGACAATTTGTGTGTCATATGTAATTTACATAGCAAATTTAGAAAGTATCAGATGTAAAACCCGGGAGTTATGGGAAAAAAAAAAAAAAAAAAAAAAACGGGCTTTTTGAACAGTTTTACATGTTTTTTTTTTGTTACATGTGGGAAGCAAGCAGGACTAAAACCATACTATCTTAGATTTTTTGCAACATGTTTGAAGAAAATTGGATAAAAAATGAGGAAGTCAATCAAATTTTTATTTTAAGTACTACGAAAAACCCAATTTTTTCAGTTTTTTGTATGAGACCAACATTACAGGAAATCTATTAAGCACTCTACATAAATCTTGTAACATAAGCTATGTTTTGCATTAAGTGCAAAGGACCTCAGCTCATACAATAAAAATTTTGTTCACAAGTAACTTTGCCTTGGTTTTTGCAAAAAGTCATACCCACCTTTAATTTTATTGATTTTTCTGCCAAACCCAAGAGGCCTGGAGAATGAAAAGTTGGTCTTGACCTACCATGGTAAATTTGCAATATGTGTGTACAATTTTACTGAAATCTGTTGAGAAATGTGGATGTGCATAAGCAACGGACAGACACACACATCTTCAATTTTATAGATATATTAATAAATATACATATCATCCCTCAACGATAACATGACAAAGTTTCATGCATAACACAATCTTCAGGTGCTGAGTATAGATTAACCATTATGTAATTTTAATAAAAGTATTTATCACAAAGTTGTCGCAGTTATATATGGATTACAGTTTTTAAATTAAAAAAAAAATATATACATGGCATTTAAAATAAATGCAGTGTGTTGTGAGTGTGTATGCGTGCATAAAAAAGAAATTATTTTAGAGTTATCAATATCAATTTTTTTATTTATGTTTTATTACATTGAACACTATAGCTGTCTTGGAATGTGTCACGAAAAAATAAATGATTTCGTCTCTTTCTCTCTCAGCTGTCGTAGCGACAGACGCAGACTCCACTTCTGAGACTGAAAAAAAAACTGCCCTCCTTCTCATTCCAGCCTTTTACATAGAGCTTGGTAACTCACCTATGCAAAACATGGTAGTACAACTGAGTTTCATACACAATGCAATTGTCAGGTGCTGATTTAAAACTGGAATATTATATATATATATATATATATATTAAGCACACTATATTCATTTTTTTTTTCAAGAATTCTTTGTATAAGTGTCTTGTTAACAACTGCTCTGAAAACTGAACCCAAGAATTTGATATTTTTCAAGTGAAAAGTTTCTAAACAGATAAATCATAACTGAAAGCAAACATGTTGCTATACAGTCAAAGAACTATCCCCCTGCAGTAAATTGTTTCTTGGAAACAAACTAGTTAATCCAAATCCTAATAAGATTTTTCTTTGTTCTTCTTTTAATATCCTTTTGACATGGCTATACTAAGCTTAGTCTGGCACAAGGCCAAACAGAGGATAGAAAAATTGTATTGTGCCAATCTCTCAATTGAGAAGACTTAATATTTACTAAGCTGAACTTATATTCTGATATGCCAATCTTCTAAGTAGTGAGGGCTTGTTTATCTTGAAAGTCAGGAATTGGAAATCTTAGATTTTTACCTTGACTTGAACCATCAAGCATTGGCAGGAAATAAATTATCTCATCAACCAATTGGGTCCAAGTGATACAGTATAAATAGATAAAGAATACTTACAGGTGCAATTAAGCAGGTGCTGTCTAAATAATGGGTTTTATAAAATGTCAATAAACTGGGCATATTGTTGAATTCATTGTCTCCAATTTTGAATTTTGTTACTCCTCCTTGTTGGGATTTATTAATTATGTAATGACTGGTTTTGCTATCTTCTCTGAAAAACAAGAAAAGAAAGTGAAACATTTTAAATGACAATCCAGATAAAGTGTAAAGTAAGGAAAAGGAAACCAAAAGAATGGTAGGTGGATAAGTGGAAAATAAACAATTTTGTAAATATTACTTATATATATATATTCATAGTTATAAACACCAAAAAAAGCTCAAAGTTCTTAAGATATTTATATAAAAAAAAAAAAACCATCCGCATATTTGCTTTCATTACAAAATTTTGTTTTGAGAACTCTCCAACATTACTCAAATGTTGCATGTGGTAACCTGAGGGAAATGAACATAGCCTTTTCTGATGCTAATTATATTTTATTCACAGAACTGTGAGGTCAATCCAGGAATTAAACAAGCAGTAGTTCACAGCTTACGAGATTATGAGTCTGGTACAATAAGATATTAATAGAAAGAAAAAGGTAAAGTTTAAATCACAAGAATGAATGCTGAATTTAATAAAATAAGAGACCCAATCTGAAGATTAGTACATGTTAGACAGTTAAGAAACTATGCTATTTTCTGGAAGCAAATTTCTCAAACAAATCGGATACTATGCATATAATCCAAACATTTCTCCTTCCTTCCATTTGATATATAATAGGGTACTGGAAAGTTCTGTCTGAACAAGAAGCCCTTAAAAACTAAATAAAAATAATTTTGAAAAATTTTGGGAAGTGGGTAAGGCTGAGAATTTTTCAACATGACCTCAAATATACCATGCTCTACTTCATTTGACATAAAGCTAAATAAGTGGAGAGAAAATTGTAGAGTTCCATGTAGGAAGGACCTTAGAGTATATCTGCTTGAACATTAAAACGGAAGTGGGTGGGGAGTAATCAAATTTTTTTTTTTTTTTTTAAATAAAAATCTGCAGGGAAGTGGGGTGGGGGGGATAAAAAAAATTATGGGTCAATTTATGAGGGTTGCCGGTTGGGATAAAAAAAATAAAAAAAAAAAAAAATAAAATAACCAGCATAAAAAAAAAAGCGAAAAATATTTCATGAAAATTTGTTTTTAAGCATGCAAAAATATAAATAGAAGTTTGGTTGCAATGTAATTGTTGTTTTATCCCATTTCAACTGGTATATTTTATTTATGTAAACGTAATTATCTACGTCATACATTTAACATTAAAAATAATAATTAGAAGTTTTGATCGAGTTTGAAAAACTTACCATTTATCACAAATGTTAAATTGATCATGAAAATGTCACAAATATATCCTACATTTTTGTTGAAATTTGTGCTTAACAAAAACAAAAAAAAAAAACAACAAATACTGAAATCTTATGTGAAAGTGAAAAAGAGCAAGAAACTTCAAAACACTCTGAACAGTCACATTCCTATCAAAATGTACATTGAATGCAGTAACCAAAAAACATTCTCTCAATTTCAGGGAGGGCAGAGATTATAAGATGGTATCCTCCAAGTACAAAGAGTTAAAAATATATAAACAATGCCAGACTTGTCAATTTTAGACACTGACCAAATACCAATCAGTATAAAAACTATTTTTATTCAAACCTCAGTGTTCAAAAGTTGAAGTTTGAAAATGATACTTTGCAAACTAGAATTAACTAACACTACAGTGTACTCTGATTTCACCGACTTGTATCATATTCAATGAGGATATCAAAGTATGCTTTAAAAATAAATATTGAACAATTAACTCAATGCAAGTAGCAAATAAAAGCACTTTAATTAGGTATCCCAAACTAAAATGTTACCTGTATAATACTGAAACTCACCGTAGGTGTGTGTTCCTGAGATACAGCTTAAACAATACATAATAACCCAAACAATTTAGGAGCATATGCCAAGTGCAGTTCCAAATTTCATTAAAATTAGATAAGGGTTCTTGAGCTAAAGCTGTTTTTATGACATTTTTAAGAGGAAATTCAGTATTTGTTTTCAATACACATCCTTATATCAGTTCATGTATATAAACACTTGCATATTATATTCCAACTATTATGTGTGAAAAATAAACATGCATAATACATTATAACAACATTATTAAATAAATTTAAATAGATATAATACAATATATATTTATACAGTTCACTACATTAGAACTTTTTTTATAAGCAAATATCTCAGATGTTTGGTAAGTACTTGATAAGTGAAGACACTATATGGATGTGTCATTGTAAAACATTCTATATAACTGAAAAATTGTCTTACATGACTTAGATGCATGGTGGTTTGCTGCCATTTTTTATATATATATATATATATATTGAAATAAATTTGAGGAAGAAACAAGTATAATAAAAAGTATAATTATTATTTTGAAAAATTACATAGAAAAACTGAAATTAAGTACACACACAAAAAAGAAAGAGACATCCATACATTGTTATTTCAATAAATATGGTTCTCTCTCTAAGCAGACAATGGTTTGTTTTTGGAATAACCTTCAACTTTGAAAATAATAATATAGTAAATACTAAAATTGGAATAAATTATCACCCCAGGGCTACTATAATTTGAATGGAAAGGCCTTTCGTGTGATATCAGTTTACAATTCCATTCTTAAAAAAAAAAAAAAAAAAAAAAAAAAAAAAAAAAAAAAAAAAAAAAAAAAAAAGAAAAAAAAAGAAAAAAAAAGGAAAAAAAAAGAAAAAAAAAAAAAAAAAAAAAAAAAAAAGAGGTAAACTTGTTTTTTTCCTGCAAGGCAATGTTTGCATTAAAGGGATGTTTCAAACTAAAGTGAGGTTATAATCCAAGAACCTAGGCCTAAGTCATTCTGGTATTGTTAATTTTTTGTTCATTCTGAGCATCTATCATTGAATTTCTGGCTGAATTTCATTAAGAAAATATATGAATTGTTAAAACTATTAAATTTATTTCAATATAATTAATAATTTTAACTTGTTGAAAGTTTTGTCTTTTCTGCTGTTCTGTGTATCAGGGACTGCATTTTTTTTTTTTTTAACAAATTCTGAAAACCTTTCAATTTATTAATTTATTATTGCATTTGATGTAAATAATAATTATTATAATAGCTTGTATTGCAAATACAAATTAAAATATGTGTAATTAATAAAATTGATAATATTCTTATCTCATCATTTTGTATCATGAACTGCTTTTAAAGGGAATTCACAGGTTTATGGGTGATCTAGTTTTCAATATGTCTAAAACCTTTGATAGAGGCATGGAGAACTTGACAAAATATAAATGATACCAAATTTATCTCAATAGCTCAAATTAGGAACAAAGTTATGACCATTCAAAGTTTGTCAATTTTCTGTCTCGTGTTATTGGACCAGAAGTCAATTTCAACAGTGTATAACTGAAGATGCCAGCTTCAGACTATTTAAAAATCATTATAGATGTAATATTATATAGGTAGATTTGAAATAAAAGAAATATCATTCTAATAGAATCAATAATTATTAGATCAGACCCACTTAAACAGTGGGAAAAATTGAATTCTCAAAAATGAAATATTTAAGATACGACACAGAAGGGCAAATTTAACTGTTCATATAAATTTCATTTCAGCAGTTAATGCCTTGCAACTTCTTGCTATGATTCATAGCATAAAGATGAAGTTAATTTTTATTTTGGTAGTACATCAATGAAAAAAATAAAAAAATAACTCATTTACACGCAGAAACACAATTTGACAGTCAGGCAAAAACAGGTCAAAAGAATGCCATCCTGAATTTGCCATAAAAAAATATCCATTTGAGGTACATGCCTGAAACTTTACTAATTTGGTAATGAGAAATTCAATAAAACAGTTCTGTTCTGTATTATGAATACATTTTCTCATACACATATCTAATTTTGGAATATTTTGTGAAATTATACAATTTTTAATTTGTCAAAAAGGACAGCAATGACTAAACTTAGAAATTCATTTTAAGAAATGAATCATTGGTCAATCCTTGAAACAAATGCTTATTGTAAAACTCATTTTTCAAACTAAGAACACTGAAATGAATAAAAATAAATTTATTGGAACCGATAGTGCTGAATAAATATCTTAAGCACTCATTCTTCTCTGTGTATTGTTCACCTCAACCATACAACACATTGCAAGGAATTTGGGGTCTTCTTCAGCTTACTTCTTCCACTTAGAAGAAAACTAAGTCTCAGGGCATTCAGTCCATCATTCACTGAATTGAAGATTAAATGTAACCTGGGTAAGAGTCTCTGGCTTGGAAAGCAGTAATACATAAGGAAAAAAAAGGAACAGGTACTTGTTTAAAAAACAGCTCTAAGTGCAACAAATTTAAAAAACACTACTATGTAATTGTCAATTTTGAAAATGCTGAAAAACATGCATCCATCATTGAAATAGCGATAAAGAGGTGTAGAATAAAAACTAATCATCACATATGAGACAGATTATTAAATATTATTTATATACTAATTTTATCAAAATAGCATTAAAAAAAAAAAAAAAAAAAAAAATCAATGTGATACCAGCAGTTGAAATTGAAGAAAATTTCATCATTTTGACATATTCACAGTCTAAATCAAGGCAGTTTGAAATATCTACTTTAATAAAGTGCACTCAATAAAATAATGAAAAAAAAAAAAAATTTATGTAGAGGGCAAAAAGTGAATGTTAGCAGGAATTTTATGTCAAATTTTTCTCAAAATGAAAAAGTTCACAACTAGTTATAGGAATGGTGAATATCGAAGTGTTTGATACATCACATACTATCTAGAAGTTTTCAAGTCAGAACTCAAAGTCTATGTTGGGAAAGTTCTGTCCCACTCAAACAGGTTCTCCATATGTTACAACAGCAAACCAAACTTCAAAATAGAAGGAATCCCACCACATACAGATTCAATAACAATTTGAAAGATAATTACCTATTTTAATATGACAGTGTGTGCATGTTCACACCTTATAGTCAAGTTTTAAACATAGATGAACATAAGACCTTAATAACACAGGCTATTTGAGATTAATCTTGGTTATTAAAGAAAATAGCATACCACTTCTATCAAAATGGATTAAAGTATTAA